GCTGCCGCACACATATCCTCTGACTTTGTGATAAAATTCTGGTCAAATATTTTTTGTGGACCAGGGAGTGCGGTGGTGTGCTTAGCTGCGGATTTCGCCGTGCCAGCGACTATCGATACAACCACGTTATTGACTGTTTCTGTCATGCGACAATGGTGAATGGCTGCTGGGCTTTGCAGACCGAAACCGCGTGTTTTTCGTGTCAAACGTGGTATTCAAGCGCTCGTCGTGCAGCCCGCCAGATTGTTTACATTCTAAACGTTGCTTGTTGGACACATGGTTACAACTTGGTACGTGGTGTCGAAACTAGAAACACCTTGGGGGTCAGGTCATATTCACGTCGGCACGCGTTATCCGGGCTCAGAAAGATTCGTTGAAAATGCCTTGCTGTCACAGCATTGTGGCGAAAGAACACAATCGAAGCCCTGAGCTCTCATTTTGAAGCCAAAGGCGATAGTCGTAGATGGTTCTCAGTCCGCGAAACAACTTCTCAACTGAGATAATTGTTGCATCAGCATGCCGGCTGATGGCCACAATGCACAGCCAAATCTTACGTGTCAGGAATCGTCGAAGCGCGGGGGGCGATCGGGTTTTATCTGCTTCACCTTCTCCATTGGCTCTCTCGCGGCGACTGGTTCGAAAAAGTAAGCTTTTCGGGGCGAGGAACTGAAATATCTCACTTGCCGCTGGCATTTTGAAGAGCTTGGTCTGTTCTCTCTTTTCAAAGCGTTTAAGGCGTCAATCTACATTAATTTTAAATAATTGCTCGAGGCAGTCGGCCTTGGGCTGGTAGATTTTCCTCTTCTTTCGCTCTCTCAACCTTTTGTCTGTGGAGCTTCGCGGCCGTTGGCGTTACGCATCGTCAACTCGATGGAGGATGTTTGTACGGCTGCTTCCTCTGCGGTTTGCTTCGCCGTGGGGTCGTGACTGCTCGGATTTCTTGCGTTATCCGTGACCATTTTAAGTACCCTTTATGTACCCAATGACGTAGAAGTTTATAAGCCAGAGGAAGGTGGTGATGCCTTTTGAGCGAATTTGCATCTGAATACCATGCCTCAACTGTGAGTCTTTC